AACAACGTCAACAAAACAGTAAACAACGACAACAACACAGTAAACAATGACAATGAAACAGTAAACAACGTCAACAAAACAGTAAACAATGACAACAAAACAGTAAACAACGACAACAACACAGTAAACAACGACAACAACACAGTAAACAATGACAACAAGACTGTAAACAATGACAACAAAACTGTAAACAATGACAACAAAACAGTAAACAATGACAACAAAACAGTAAACAATGACAACAATAAACGTCAGTTGAAATGAGCGTAGTGTATACAACAATAAACCAGGGTGCTGTAAAACAGGGTGAAATACTACAAAGGTGGCCTGAGGTTCCTTCTGGGTTCCTGTCTGCACAGACGGGCCTAAGATCAACCTTCATGTCACACTTGGCCCGAGTGGAACCACAGATAGAACCGAACTGTAAACAGAAAGGAGATCAGAGATCTCTGAACGAGGGGGAGAAGAAGGAGGACTTCTCTGGTCCGTCTGGATCTCATTTAGAGGACAGTAATGCGATTAGGTCTGTTTAGTTTTCACAGTTCCAGCCAGTCCCCACGAAGAGAAGCAAAAACCCGACCTGTGGAAGTGGGTGCACTCTGGTGTGGAAGGATGACACACATTAAAGCTGAGGTCTGAATTTCTTTTTCTTCCTAAACCACAGAAAAAACCTTTTATTTTGTTTGATTGTATTTTTGGTTGGAAAGATTGGCACTTTACTCAAACTGGTTTTACTCCAGCCCTGAGCAGGACTGGTCTCCTGAGGGTTTGATCTCACATTTCACCTAAATGCTAAACGTTTGGAACGTTTTCTGGTTGTGCGTAAGAAATCTGGTTCGTTGAGTCAAATCTTGCTTCTTTTTTCTCCAACCTGTCACTAAGAATATTCAACACTGAGATAACGGCGTCTTTAAACGATGTGTGGAAGCTCCGATGATGTGGCTTCTGAAGGTTTAGACTGGTTAAAATCTTTAGCAAGCATGCTTCTTAACACAACAAACAAACAAACAAATAAATAAAAGAGCAAAGAAAGCACACAGTCTTTCAGCCGTTTCCTCTTCAGGCGCAGATCACAGCATCATCTGCAAACAGGAAGTCTTTTCTCACTGATCACTTGTTCGGTTTTCACATATTTTATATTTGTTCCAGTTTCCAACAGCAGCTGGTCTCGGAGCATTTTTATGAACAGTCAAATGGTTTTTCTTTGTTTCCCAGAACATATTTGAGTTTTTGTGGTCGTGAGCCGACACTTGTGGCTCTTGCTTCATGTTGGGGAAACATAAGGGTGTTGGTCAAGTATTTGAAAAATACTAACTAATCTGAGTCAGTTTTTATTCACGAGTTTTAAAGCACTTTGTCTCGTTACTCACAAACTTTTATAGATGTGTTGTGTTCTAGTTTAGGGATTTTACAGGAAGTAGAGTGTAACAGAGGTCAAATTAAAATAAAAGTTTGGATTCTTGTTTGACACAACAGATTTATGAACCATCAGTTAGGTGTCATTTGAAGAGGCACGTGTTCCAGAGTACATCATGTTTTAGTTAAATAGACTGTTAAAGTATTTACTTATTGATGACTCTGTGCTTTTATTGTTCACCTTTGAAACATTACATCATAGTTTTCTCTGAAAGTCAAAAACAGACTGCAAACTATGAAGAGTGTCAAATTTAGGGTGTAAACTAAAACTGGTGGATACCAGGTGACTCACCCGAATTAATGATCTGATTCTTTGCACTGAATCAGAACTCACAAGTTGGAGGTCTCAGATATGCAGCATCATCTTCTGGCAGACTAAGAGTGGACTCACTGGAAAAACAGCTAGATCTTTAAAAGTGCTGTGGACTTGGATGAGCAGAGTCTCTGACTTAAGTTAAAGACTTGATGAAAACTCTGTGGACTCAGATGAGTCGGGTCACCCATTCGAGTCCAAGACTCACTTGAGAAACTGCTGAATCTTTGGAAATGCTGAGGAGTCTCAAACAAGTCCGGCCACTTATTTAGGTTAAAATCTTGCCGTAAACGTTGTGGACTCGGGCTAACTCCAGTCAGTGACGTTCTGTAATGATTTAAATGTGCAATAAACAAGTTTTGAGCAGCATGGGGTGGTGGTGGGGTTTCCACAGTCTGAACACTCAAGTGGATGCAGATCACTTCAGTGAGGGACTCAGATTAACCTGAGTCCATGAAGTGAAGCGGATTTATCGCCTCTAATGTAAAAAACCTCACAGTTCAGTTGTTCTCAACGTTTAATAGAAGCTAAAAGTAGCTGGACGTCTGTCTGTCTCTGTCCAGGCATCATCAAGGTGGGCCGGTGGAACCCTCTGCCCATCCACTTCCTCACCGACGCTCCAGAGGCCACGGTGGCGGACATGTTGATGGAGGTCTACCACATGATCACGCTACACATCCAGCTCCACAGGTCAGACTCCTTCTGGTAGCTACAACCAGAAAAACCGTAGCAAGTCAAATAAATAGTGGCTAGTGTTATAGCTAGAAGCTAAAATTGAAAAAACAGTAGCTAATGGATAAAACTAGCAACAGAGCAGCTAAAAGTGAAATCTACATAATTAGCTAAAACCAAATAAAACAATAGCAAAAAGACTAAATGAGCTAAACAGCAGCTAAACCCTAAGATAAATAATCAGTAGCTAAAATCTAAGGTTGACTACATAAAAACAAAACTTAAGTATGTGAAAATAGTAGCTAAGAGCTCAGTTTAGCAAAACAGTAGCTAAAAACCAACGTTAACAAAATAGTAACTAACAAAACTATAGCTAATAGCTAAAATGATCTGAAAGCTATAGATGATACAACACATTTTCTGAGGTTTATTTATTGTTTATTGAAAGACAAGCATTAGCTCAATATTTGTAAATATGACACAATTATAGCCATTCTTGGTTTGACAAGGAAGCTTACCTGTGTCAGCCATCTTGAATGGTGCTAACTTCTAAGATCAGTTGTAGCTGCTTGGGGTGACTGATGAGTTTGTCTCAGCTGATCAGATCGTCTGAAGGATGTGACTGAGGTTTCTGCTGGTTTTGGTTCCTGCAGCTTCTCGAAGCTGGAAGATCTGCCCAGCGAGCAGTGGAGCTACGCAACCGTCAGGAACGCTCTCAAAGAGCTGCTGAAGGAAATGAACCAAAGCACTCTGGCCAAGGAGTGTCCGTTGTCCCAGGTGAGAACATCCTCATTCAGCCATTTTATCAACACATGAAGGTCCTATATGAACTCCGATCATCTTTTATTTATTGATAAAATTTAAACCTTATTTATCCAGATTAGTCTCATTGAGTCACGAGGACTCATTTTCAAGAGAGTCCTTAGACAGACAACATAAAAAGTACATACAATAAACAACAATAAAAATAAAAATTAGTGTTATACTGTTACTGTTAGCAGCGGGGTCCTGTTAGCAGCATGGTCCTGTTAGCAGTGGGGTCCTGTTAGCAGTGTGGTCCTGTTAGCAGTGTGGTCCTGTTAGCAGCATGGTCCAGTTAGCAGCTTGGTCCTGTTAGCAGCATGATGCTGTTAGCAGCATGGTCCTCTTAGCAGCATGGTCCAGTTAGCAGCTTGGTCCTAGTAGCAGCATAATCCTGTTAGTAGCACGGTCCTGTTAGCAGCATGATCCTGTTAGCAGTATGGTTCTGTTAGCAGCATGGTCCTGTTAGCAGCATGGTCCTGTTAGCAGCTTGGTCCTGTTAGCAGCATGGTCCTCTTAGCAGCATGGTCCTGTTAGCAGCTTGGTCCTAGTAGCAGCATAATCCTGTTAGCAGCACGGTCCTGTTAGCAGCATGATCCTGTTAGCAGTGTGGTTCTGTTAGCAGCATGGTCCTGTTAGCAGCATGGACCTGTTAACAGTGTGGTCCTGTTAGCAGCATGGACCTGTTAGCAGCGTGGTCCTGTTAGCAGCATGGTCCTGTTAGCAGCATGGTCCTGTTAGCAGCATGGTCCTGTTAGCAGTGGGGTCCTGTTAGCAGCATAGTCCTGTTAGCAGCATGGACCTGTTAACA